GAGGCGTGGCCCGTGCGCTTCATCAAGCAGACAGGGCTCGTCGAGATGGGCATGCCGCTGAACCACCTACATCTGTGCGAGCGGAAGAGTGGCGAGAAGGGCAAGGGCGCTATCGCTTCCAGACTGGGACTCACGCACCACATCGACAACGACATCGAATGCCTTTGGTCGATGGTGCACGACGATGACAACATGTGGGCGAACATCGTCGAAGAGAAGGGCTTCTTGGTGATGTTCACTGAACTGAGGCCAGTCATGAATAACAAGTGGATGACAAAAAGCTTGCGCGAGTGCATGCGCGAAGCTGGCTCGTGGCAAGAAGTCGCCCGTCTCTTTGAGCTGCCGCATGTGGACGGTCCTGGCGTGTGGGCCTGGCTCGATCAGCAAGGCCCACCGCATCGCCGATATTCTGGCACAACGGTGGAGCGCGTCCGACAGGAGCTGGACAAATGGCTAGCATCATCTACAAGGCCTTTAACGTCCACGTGGGGTTCGCCACTGATTGTCCCCCGGCGTGAACGCGATGATGACGATGATGAGTGGCGTCGTCAAGAAGCACGCCGTCTCGAAATCAAATTCCGAGAAGAACTGGCAGCCGCAGACGCTAAAGCGCAACGCGATGCGGAGGAGCTCCGACAGCAAGAAAAAGCAGAAGAACGAGCTGAGCAAGTTCGACAACATGCACAACGCATCCGACAGCAAGAACAAGCAGAAGAACGAGCTGAACAAGTTCGACAACATGAAAAACGCATCCGACAGCAAGAAGAAGCAGAAGAACGAGCTGAGCAAGTTCGACAACATGAAGAACGCATCCGACAGCAAGAAGAAGCAGAAGAACGAGCTGCTGAGCAAGTTCTACAACATGCACAACGCATCCGACAGCAAGAAGAAGCAGAAGAACGAGCTGAGCAAGTTCGACAACATGAAGAACGCATCCGACAGCAAGAAGAAGCAGAAAAACGAGCTGCTGGGCAAGTTCGACAACATGAAGAACGCATTGCAGCTCTTCGCGCTGAGGAGGATCGACTTCGCGCAACACAGGAACGGCTACAGCAGCAGGTGCTAGTCAGCGACGCTCTACGACAACGTCGAGAACAGGACGAGGCGCTTCACAACAACTTCCGCGCGTTGGAGGCCCAGGTGCAGGGTATGGCAGAAGAACTTTCACGCCGCAGTGGTGACTGGAAGCCGTGGAGCACGTGGGCCAGCAACGAGCGGTGCAACGACGGGTGGAACTACAAGAAGTACAAGAGGGCTATGGAGCACGCCATGCGGATCCGCCCGAGTCCAGCATGTGTGCGCCGCGTGGTAACCCCTATGTGCGCATCTTGTCACATCAATTTGCCTGGTGTGTACTGTCCATATTCTTTGCGCTCCCCATGTTGCCAGAGCGCTTCGTGGGCGGAGCGGGCCAGCAGCTCCAGCGCCAACGCCAGCGAGTGCTGGCAACACGCTATGTGATTAACATTGGCTGATTCGGCCATCGCGTGCAGAAAAACGGCATCCTTTCCTCCACCTCCCCGCTTCCCCCCTCTCTGATGATGAGCCTCCGGGGGGGGGGCTGAATTAAGTACTTCCCCCACCTTGTTTGAGCCATGCGGCGCCTGCAACGGCCCCAAGAGACCTCTCAGACCCCCTTTCCCAAAGGAGCCCCAAGAGCTTACTCCTCCTCGGCCCCCGTGGGAGGAGGAGGAGGAAGGGGGGGGGGGGCGGACGGATGAGGAGAAGGAGGAGGAGAGAAGAGGACGACGATGCGATTTTTCGGCGAAAGCCGACGCCGTTGCCCTGGCTGTTGAATTACCTGAATCATGTCTGAACGAACTACTCCTCCTCCTCATCCTCCTCCTCGCCGCCTCCTCCGGAACCGTCTGGCGCCAGGGCTATTGCGCTGCTGCTGTTGGAGCGCTGCGCTGGGAGCAGAGGAACTCTTCGGAGGCGAATTGTGACCTCGAGCCTATTGGCACCAAAGTACCAACGCTTCCGGAGACGTAGGCCGGGCACCTATCGCACGGCACATGAGACCCCGGCTGAGCGCACCAGAGCGGCTCACACCTCTTCAGGCTGGCCACGCTCCACTTCTGCTCGAGAGTCGGGCCCTTGCCGTCGCCTGTCTGAATACCGTCGCTCCACGAGACGCTCCGCTTCTTCTTGGAAACGCCCGCAGAGCTCGAAGTGGCGTCGGTTTTCCGCTTCTTGAGCTTCGACGGGCCTGGCGGGCCCGCCAGCGCGCTCGACGGCGGAGGCTGCGCGGGCCGCTGATTGTCGCACATGATGCTGGGGTGCACCAGCCTGCCCGCGAGCGCCATCTGCCCGAACTTGTAGTGCTTCTCCTTCAACGTTTCGGTGATGCCGTACAAGTTCTCGAGGTGCTTGAGCGTGGCCTGTATCTCTTCGCGCGACTCCTTGACACTCGGCCACGTACGGCGCCACAACTGGAAGCGCTCCTCGCTGTTGAAGACCTCCTTCATCATGCCCATCTTGATGGACACGAACTCAGCGCCGAGGTGCTGGAGGTCGTCGTGCAGGAGCTTGTCGGCAAGGATCTGCGCCGGGCCCTGGGACTGCGGGCGCCCGCTGCCCGCTGGCGCCGCGCGCGCCGGTGGCGCCGATGGCGCCGGTGGCGCCGGTGGACCTGGAGGCGACGGCGGCGCCTCCGCCGCCCCTGAAGTCTTCTTCGGAGAATCCGAGAGCTCCGATGACTCCGAGTCCGAAGAAGAATCGGACGACTCCGTCGACGACGGCGTCGCCGGCGGCGGCGTGGGCGGAGGCCCCCGAGTCGCCTGCTGCGGCGTGGGCGGAGGCCGCGCCGTCGAAGCCGTCCCGCTGCCCTCATTCTTGGCGCCCTCGCTCCTGGTCGGCGTTGGCGGCGCTGGCGACGCCGGCGCTGGCGACGCTGTCCTGCTGGTCCGCGTGCGGGGGCCCATAAGGTTCCAGGAGCCTTCGTCGCCGAACTTCGGCCAGAGGTCTTCAGAGACGGTCGCCCTGTCACGCCACAGCTTGCTGCCACCCCCGTCCTCCCACCAGCTGGCGAAGCGCCTGACCACGCCACGATGCTGTTGCTTGCAGGCCTTGTCCTCCGGAGACGCACACACCAGCTCTAGGTACTCCTTCGACGCCATCGCGGGGAAGGTGATGCCGTCGCGCATGAACAACATTCGGAAGAACACCCCGAACTTCTTCACCGAGGAGGGGTTGCACTTCTTCACCAGCCAGTCCTCCCGGAAGCGATAGGACACTAGGGGGAAGTAGAACACGTCGTCGATGCAGTTCTTGTGCTTGCTGGTGAACACCTCCATCGGCGAAGGCTCCGTCGTCGCGCGTCGCAGGCCCAAGGCCGCGCCGCGCAAGCAGGAACCCGTCGCGCGCCGGGCCGGCGGAGGCTCGCAGGCGCGCAGCCCGCCGGGGCGCGAGCAGGAACCCGCCGAGGTTCGCAGCTCTGAAAAACAAAGCCCAAATGGCTATACGAGGAGGAGGGTGAGGAGGAGGAGGAGGACCAACACCGGACAGGACGCCCAGAGGACAAGATTTTGCTGGTGGGGCGGTTTTAAGCGGAACCCCAGGAAACGCGAGGTGTGCTTGGCTCCCTCCCCTCCTCCTCCTCCTCCTCCCCCTCCTCCTCCTCCTCCTCCTCATCCTTCTCCTCCTACCTACCTACTAGTCAGTTTGAATCAATGCCGCATCCTCCTCTGCCTCCCTCCCTCCTCCCTCCGTCCCTCCTCCCTCCCTCCTCTCCTCTCCACTCCACCGCCTCATTTCATCTCCTCCCCTCCGCCTCCCTGGCCATCGTGTGCAGGACAAGAGCATCCTCTCCTCTCGTCCGCCTCCTCTTCTCCGCCATCTCCTCTAAGGCATAATCCGTGCCAGCTGCTTCGGCTGACCCATCCACCCTCAGCTGCTTCGGCTGACCCATGCTCCACCCCCGCCCAGCTTCAGAAGACTTCGACACGACCATCCGTAACAACGGATGATATGTCCAAGGCTGATTGCCCAAAATGGGTGTTGGGGAGCATGCGAACCCTGTGGCCGAACCAGCCAACAAACGTTAAACGAGGCCGAACCAGCCAGCCCGACTGGCGCTGTCTCTTCAAAACGAGGACCCAACACCACAGGGTGGTTGGGAAAGCGACCTCCATCCGTGTAATTTCCGAAGCTGTTAAGACGAAGTGATGAAGATGGGGGGAGGGAGGGGGCAGCGGGAAGAAGGTGGGAACGCGGGGCGCTGTCTCTTCAAAACGAGGACCCAACACCACAGGATGTTGGGAAAAAAGCCCTGCGGGGACCCCTCCTCCCTCCTCCTCCTCCTCCTCCTCCTCCTCATCCTCCTACCTCCTCCTCCTCCCTCCTCCCTCCTCCTCCCCCTCCTCCTGGGGAACGATTCTGAGCGGATTTGGGCCGCCGTTGTATCACTGCCGTTGTCTCAAACGGCTCTCCTCCGACCATTGCTCGGACTTCTTCTGATCGTGTGACGAGCCCCTCACAGACGTCACTGCTCCGAGGAGGGGCGCCGCTGCTCCGAGGAGGGACGGGGGCGAGAGGACCGAAGAGCGAGGAGGTTCGAGGATCGAGGGCCATCCTCCGCTGGGTGTCCGAGGAGGAGGGGGAAGAGGGGGAGGGGGAGGGGGCTCAGGAGGAGGAGGGAGCTTCGGGGGGTGCCCGAGAGCCCAAAAACTGCACTCGCGACGACGACGACGATGGCAACGCCATGCAACGAACGACGACGGCGATCATGATGATAATATCGATGATGGTGATGATGGTTATGCGTGATGGCGACGATGGACGTGGCCCGTTTTGGCTCTACCCTAGCGGGCTTTGGACTGAGAGCTCGCCCAGTCTAAACCATGGACGACTGGTCCATGCTCGTGATAGACACGCCGCCCCAGCAGCGGAAGCCCAAGGCCAAGGCGGCACCGAAGCCCAAGGCCAACGGGCGCCCGGCGCAGTTCGTCGTTCGGAAGTCGCCAGCAGCCGCTGTTCCGATCAAGAAGTCCTAGCGCTCGATGGCGCCGCCGGTCACGACAAGGAAGCCTGCCGTCTCAGACTCGCGCGGCGCCGGCAAGAAGTGGAAGGCCCCAGATGTCGTCGTTCTCCGGGACATTGATCTTGAGAGGGTGGTCTTGACGGGCGAAACGGATGGCAAGATTCTGTTCGGCAGTGATTGCGCGGGCATCGACATTGCTAAGCTCGCCTTGGAGTTGCTCGGCATTGGCAACTCCATTGTGCACGTGTTCGCATCGGAAATTGACTTCGCCACGCGCAAGGTTATCATTGCCAGCCACCCCGACTTGTGCGTGCTCTATGGAGACATAACCACCCGCGATAACGCGGCGGTCCCGCGGGTGGACTTGTACATCATCGGATTCCCTTGCCAGCCATTCTCTGTGCAGGGCATCCACGCGGGGATTGCAGATCCTCAAGGCCGAGGCATCGTGGTGTTTTTCGCCCTAAACTACATCCAGACCAAGCTACCGACGGTGTTCATCTTGGAGAACGTTGAGGCCCTGACTCACCAGAGGTTCCAGGAGGAGCTGAATGCCATCTTGAACTTTCTCGTCAGCCTCAAAGGCCCCGACGGTACCCCCGCGTACACTGTGAGCATGTCCGTCCTCGACACGTTGAAAGTCGGTGGCTTGCCGCAATCACGGCGCCGATTGTACATCACAGGAGCGCTGTCCAAGAAGTCCAATGTGCACACGAGTTGGCCGAGCGAGATCCCATGCACGCCAATCGAACAGATCTTGGACAAGCATTCGGACAAGCTCGGCACCTTGCCAGTCCATGACTACCAGATCCACAACTTCACCCGCCTGGTGGACAAACTGTCTCAACATCAAGACATATTCGCCAAGACCAACATGCTCATCGCCGAGCTTGACTGCGGCAAGACCAGGTCGCCGCAATACGGCTGGGGGTACGCTCCGTGTTTGACGCGCAACCGGTCTGGCGGTGGGGGCTTCTGGATCTTTGCCAAGCACCGATTCATGACGCTGAACGAGCTCGAGCGCCTTCAAGGGATCCCCCCGGGCCGCATCAACTACGAGAACGCGTGCAGTCCCCGCCAGTACGCTCAGATGATCGGGAATGCATTCTCTGTCAGCGTCGTCGGCCGCCTCACGAGAAACCTTCTTGTGCAGGCTGGTTTTTTCAAGCGGCTCGCTGACCCGTGGCGGAGAGGCAGCAGTTCTGCATGACGCCTCGCCTCGGCGCGCAACGATGAACGGCGGCCGGCATATGTGCATACGTAAGTGTGCGTGCATGTGGGTGTGTACCTACATGCATACGCATGAGTGTGTGTATATATGTGTATGCGCATGTATATTATACATACATACATACGCATGTGTGTATGTATGTATGTATGTGTATACATACATACATACATGCATACATACATACATACATGTGTATATGTATACATACACACATGCATACACATGTATATACATGCATACATAGGGTATGTATGTATGTATACATACATACACATGTATATACATACATACATAGGGTATGTATGTATGTATACATACATACATAGGGAGGCCCATCAACCCGACGAAACCCCGTTTGCGCGCGAACGGGGTGTCGTCAACGTTGAGCGCTCAATGTTGACGAAACTTGGTGGGCTTAGGGCGCCCTTAAGGGTATGCGCGGAGGCGCGGGGCGGCCCAGCAGCCTGACGAAACCCCGATCGCGCGCGATCGGGGTTTCGTCAACATTGAGCGCTCAATGTTGACGAAACTCGGTGCGCGGGCCCTGCGGGGTGTGACGAAACCCCGATCGCGCGCGATCGGGGTTTCGTCAACGTCCACCGGTCGCCCAGGAGCGCGCGCGCACCGAGTTTCGTCAACATTGAGCGCTCAATGTTGACGAAACCCCGATCGCGCGCGATCGGGGTTTCGTCAGCTGGCGACTTCTGCCAGCGGTCCTGGAATCAGGCCTTTAAGGTATCTGGTATTCGCCGCCCGTCGGGGCTCTGAGTGGTGTCTGTTGCGACTCAGACAGTCGGGGCCGGCGTGAGAAAACGTCAACGCTCCTTTGCCATCTTCAACCGTCGCCATCGTCAGCCCCCCCCCCGTGTCTGTTAAGTCGCTACCATTTGATCATCATGGTCATCAGCCATGATCATCATCATCATCATGATCATCATCATGACGATCATCGATCATCATCATCGATCATCATCATCATCAACACATGACTATAATATACTATAATCACAATGATAATCATACTCCACCCCGTGCGATGCGATGGCGACGCGACGATGATGGCGGCGGCGGGCATATGCGCATACGTAAGTGTGCGTGCATGTGGGTGTGTACATACACACATACGCATGAGTGTGTGTGTATATGTGTATTCGCATGCATATGTACACATACATACATACATACGCATGTGTGTATGTGTATGTGTATGCGTACGCATGTATGCATGTATGAGGAGGAGGAAGAGGAGGAGGATGAGCAGGAGGAGGATGTGCACCAGCAGGAGGAGGAGGAGGACGACGACGACGACGACGAAACGATCTTTCTGGCTAAAAAGCCGCAGCCGCTGGCTGCTAAATTCTCTGAATGTCTGAACTGACTTCCTTCTCCTCCTCCTCCTCCCTCCTCCTCCTCCTCCTCCTTCTCTCTCCTCGTCGCTCTCCTCCCTCCCTCCCTCCTCCTTCTCCTGCCCCTTTCCCCATCCACCTCCGCCTCCCCCCTCCTCCTCCTCATCCTCCTCATCCCCCTCATCCTCCTCCTCCTCCTCCCTCTGCCGCGGGAAGGCTGGCACAGCCAGCGCACGCACAGAAAGGCGGAGGTGGAGGGAGGAGCACAAACAGGCTTAGGCGCCTCCCGCCCTCCTGGCGATGTCCGCCTCTAGAATCTCGCGCCTGCCGCGGGCGTCGAGTGCCATGCGGCTCAGCCGCCCCTCTGCGGCCGTCCTCTTCTCCATGATGCGTTGCGCGACGCCGGTCCAGTCCTCGAAGTAGCCGTGCAATTGGTAGATGGGAAGCCCCTTTCCCTGTCAGGCCCCCACCCTGCCCCCTATTCCCTTTCCCCCACCTCCGAGGGGGGGGGGCGGGGATATAAGGGCAGAGGGGGGAGCTTGCCTGTATTGTTGTCCTCCCCCGTCCTCGTACAACTTGCGACGCCAAGAGTGCGCCCAAGCCTGAGGAGAAGGGAATTGACACCACCACCACCACCAGTGACCAACAGCGCGAGGAGCCAGAGGGCGGGGATATACTATCACCGCCCTACTCCCCGAGGCGGGGATATATTATCCCCGCCTTGGGCAGGGGCATCATGGGCATCCTCGCTGGAGGTGGCCCCCCTGGCGGTGGGGGCGTCGCTTCTCCTTGCCACCCGCGCCTGTGAATTTTTCTGGTGATCCGACCACTGGGCCTCCGCCTCCTTCTCCTCGCGCATCAGCACCTCCAGCGATTGGTATGGGTCCTCCTTCTTCGCGCGAGGCCCTGCTGGTACTGGCCCTTTGGTACTGGCTTCGCCGCCTCCTTCGCCTCCGCGAGGAGGCCCCGCTGCTGGCCCGTCTGGTGCTGGGCCTTCTGGTCCAGGCCCTGCTGGTCACCGTCCTGCTGATAGCCCTGCTGCTGGCACTGGCCCGTCTGGTGCTGGCCCTGCTGGTAGCCCTGCTGGTCCTGGCACTTCTGGTGGTAGCCCTGCTGGCCCAGGGCTAGCAGGAGGGCCAGTTCCTTCGCCTTCGCCTTCACGAACCCCGCGAGGTCGGGCTCCTTCTTCGCGAGGCCTGGCTCCGCCGCCTGCTCCTCCTTCGCCTCCGCGAGGGCCTTCTGGTGCTGGACCTTATGGTCCAGGCCCTGCTGGTCACCGTCCTGCTGGTAGCCCTGCTGGTCCTGGCCCTGCTGGCGCTGGCCCTGCTGGTAGCCCTGGTGGTGGTAGCCCTGCTGGTAACCCTGCTGGTACTGGCCCTCCTGCTGGTAGTCATGCTCCTCCACCTCTTTCGCCTCCGTGAGGCCCGGCTCCGCGAGGAGGTATGGATCCCCCACCGCATTGTTGAGGAGATGACAGGGCGGCGGCCCGGGAGGCGGCGTCGGCTCCAGCTTCACCTTCTTTCTGAGATGAACGGGCGGCGACCCCGGTGGTGGCCTCGGCCCAGCCTTGCAGCGCAGCGCAGGAGGCCGCATCGGCGGGGCCCTGTCGGGAGGCCGCATCGGCGGGGGCCTGGGTGGCGGCAACATTCTGACGCCCCGCCTCCGAGAGCCGCTTGATGAAGAAGAGGATGAGGTGGAGACGGGGGAGGAGGAGGAGGAGATTCCCTCTTCCTCCTCCTTCTCCTCCTCATCCTCCTCCTCCTCCTACTCCTCCTCCCCCCCCTCCTCGCTCTCCCCCTCCTGCCATCCTCCGAGGGGCGCGGAGATCATAACATCATAACATAGCGCATAACACATATCGTCATAGCGTCATAGCGTCTCGCGCCTCGCGGCCAATGCCTGGAAGCCTGGAAAGCCGCCTTCCTCGAGAGGGGCGGCGCGAGGGCGCGAAGATGACCAGATAACCGCACTATGAGTTTTGACGGTGCTCATCCGCAGCCGTTTGGGCTTCCTCAAGGTGCAGACGCCAGCAGCTCAAGGCTGCACCCGCGCCGTGCCATGGAGCCATATGTTATGGGCGTCGCCATGTGTGCCGTAGGCATGGTCGTGGGCGCCATGTGTGCCGTGAAAGTGCTCAGGCTCGCGGGAGACAGGCTCGCCGTGCACGGGCCCGACGCGTCCGAGAACTGGTCCGACGATCCCGAGCCGCCGGCGGAGTCGCCGTCGTCGATCCTCCTGTCTGCAGCTACTGCTGACCCGAAAATTCCCTGGCGGACCCGGTGGTCCCAGCGCCGGGCGCCAGCGCCCGCAGGGTCGCCGCCGAATGGCCCGGTGAGTCCTGCAGCCCCCGCCCTGGCGGACGCGGTGGTGAACGCGTCGGCGCGGCCGCCGCCGAGCACACCTCCGCCGAGCGTACCCAGGCCCCCAGCAGGGCCGCCGCCGTCGGCCCTGCAGATACCGCCGCCGCCGAGGGTGCCCGCGCCGCCAGCAGGGCCGCCTCCAGGTGTGTTCTTTGCGGAGACCGTGGCGCAACGTGCAGATGGGGATGCGGCATGGCGTTTCTTCATGGATCACGGCTTCGTCGTGATCGACCTCGGCCTGGACGCCGAGGACTTGCTCGCCTTGCACAGAGTTTCTGTCGACATGGCGTTGTTGGCGTCCATGCCCGCCACGAAGCACAATCGTGGGACGGGGCGCACGTGCGTCGACAGTATTCAGAATATCTACCGCGGCGCTTGGCAAGAGGCTCTCAAGATCATCCTCCGACGTCATCAGTTCTCCTTTGTGCTGGCGGAGTTGGTCAAGGCCTACAACATCAAGTTTCACAATTGCGGCGGTGACTACGTCGAGCAAGGTGTGGGCGACGCCACCGAGCTCGCCCACAAGAACCCGTGCGATTGGCATCGGGACTGCAACTACTACCTGCAATGGTTCTGTATATCAGTCCTGACGGCGGAAACAGACCTCCGACATGGACCGCTGTTTCTGGAGAGCTGGAGTACCAACAAGGAACAGGTGATTTTCCTAGGCAAGCCTGGGCTTTGTGTAATGAGATATGTGGAACTTGCACCGCGGCAGTGCAAACACATCCCGCATGCCGCGGGCGATGCCCAGTTTCCGCTTCTGCACTGGCAACAATGCCAGGCCAGATGCTATGACCCCCCAGGACCTTCTAGAGTTCATTGGTCTATAGACATCTGTGAGGGAATGGCCCACAAGGGGCCCCATTACACCATACTTCGAATGGCCCACCTGCGGCCCGTGCAGTGTGCATCTCAGCGCGAATTGATTTGCGCCAACAGAAGGTCTCAGCTATATGTCAGGCTGAACGACCGAGTATCCTTTAGTGTGCATCTCTGCCGGCAGAGTTTTCGATCGCTGTTGCCATGTCTGTTTGCATGCACGCTCGCAGAGCGAACCGACCTTGCCTCGGGCAAGCCTTGGAGTGAAAAGAAGTGCAGCCTCTCTCTTCAGCGCTGGTGAGCGGTGTCGTCTGCCTCGCGGGGTCGGGCCAAACAAATAGCTATCGACACCCCAGGCTAAAATACCGAAGCGGTTTTAAGCGGAACCCCAGGAAACGCGAGGTGTGCTGGGCTCCCTCCCCTCCTCCTCCTCCCCCTCCCCCCCCTCCTC